AAATAACTTACCTGAAAAGGCCCCAGACAATGAAGAAGATGCCAGTGAATCAGACCCCAGAACTTCCCTGTCAAAAGGAAATGACACTGAAGAATTCTGGAGTGTAGTATCTGAGACATCTCCAGAATCCAATGTTCCATTAGAAGCAAGAGAAACATGTGAAAATGGCCTGTTTAACTCAGTGGCTTCCTTATCCATAGTGGAGCTATAAGGAAAATTTGCACCCTCAAAACCCTCAGGTGCAATTCTGACTTGTTTCCTAGAATCCCCATTTCTTGGTAACTGGCTTTCACACATTCCACTTTGGTCACCAGCCGTGGCAAAGGATGATTCCAATGAGTGTGGTAAATAGTTTAATTGACTGTTGATTCTGCTAGAGTGCTCATTATAATTATTTTCAGTCCAATCTACATAGGATTCTGCAAACTGGTCCTGTTTTGCATTTCTCTCATCATTAGAAGCATTCCAAGCATATCTTCTGTCATGGTCAGGTTCATATGATGTAGGTTCCTCATTATGTCTGTGTGCCAATGTTCTTGCAGTTGATTCATAATTTTCTTTGGCAAATCTTCTCTCTCTAACACCTTCAGTATCATACCGCATTTCAGTAATAGTTCTTGCTTCTCTTTGTTCCTGCCAAACAAAATAGCAAAAATCATGCACAAATTAACAAAATAATTTTTCACACAGTAACAATCAAGTAATAACCCTTTTCCCGTTACACCAAATTATACAATAAACCATATTGATTTGACAGGGATTGGGAAGGCAAAACAGGCAAATGAGCCGATTAAAGAGCAAAGGCATCGTGATTTCTTGCATGTTTATTCGTCATTACACCAAAAATTTCACAAACAAAAGTCCTTTTCACAAAATAGTGTATATTTTACTAGCTGTTTTGTAGCTAGGGCGCATCGCAGGTGCAATAAGTACTTTCAAAATGCGCCACATGCGCATGGCGCACGGCCTTCCCAATCCCTGTTTGACCGAGCAACCAGGACACTTATTTTAATTTGTGAGATCAAGACACAGTGATTATTACAGAGCACTTCTCTTTTTTGACATACATGTCTGAATGTTTTAAAATACCAAACAGACATCTTTCATTTGACGGAACTGACATAGAAATAACACTCAAGACACTTAGAGAAGGGCCAGTTTATTTTGAGAATTATGTCTGATGAATTCAAACTGACGAGGATGAACTTTTAATTAATTAATTAATTAATTAATAATTTACTTGCATACTATGCAGGGGGAATTCCAATACTCTTAACAACTTCATGGTACAGCTAAAGCTTCAAGTGTAAGCAAAGGTATGTTGAGCCACTAGATTCTAAAGAGATTTCACAAAGAGTTACAGTTGTACATATAGTCTCCTTACCTGCACTCTGTCCATGACTGACATGACCTGTAAGAGTAGGTTTGAGTACTTTTCTCGTCTTCTTTCAAACTTTTTGGCTTCACATTTAACTGCTTCTCTTCTGTATTGACGCATCTCAGCCCTTTCATTTTCCGTAAGCTACAAGTAGAATACACAATACAGTAACAGGTTACAGAGATCAACATTACAGTCATTTAACAACTTGATGTAAATAATATTAGAGATAGCAGTCTTGACCATTCTGGAAGGTTTTTTTTTTTCAGAGTGACTATATCTGACCAGGGAAATGACCATCACCTTCATTTTCCGTAAGCTACAAGTAGAATACACAATACAGTAACAGGTTACAGAGATCAACATTACAGTCATTTAATAACTTGATGTAAATAATATTAGAGATAGCAGTCTTGACCATTCTGGAAGGTTTTTTTTTTCAGAGTGACTATATCTGACCAGGGAAATGACCATCACCTTCACAACTATTAACATTCAACTAAAGCTTTTCATTACAGTAGTTCAATGCCCTATGTTCCACTCAAAACCTAGAGGATTAAGTTAGTCAAAACTTCACATGTTCATATATACGGTGGTTCCTTCATGTCAGAAAACTGACACTTTCAATCTATGTATTCATAAGTCTTTCAAAACTTTTGATTTCAAGTATTAGTTAAATTGTGTGGTCCCAGAAAATATCCATATCCCCCCATGGAAGGTTTTTTCCAGTTTGACCCCCCACCCCCCAGGATTTTTAGTTCAAGGAGGCTTCACAGTACTCCCCCCACCCCCTGGAATTTACATGATTTTTCTACTTGGGTCCCCCCTACCCCTCGGAAATTCCGTATCCATAAAAAACAAGACTTAACTCATTAATTGTAATAAAAATTAGCCGCAGCTGTTTATAGTTACATTGGAGACAAAGACCTACTATTTCACGGTAGACTGCAGACACGGCATGTTCCTTCATGTCATGTTAAAATATTGGAAACGGTGTTTAAACTAATAAACAACTGACTTAGAAGCACATCACTCCCAAATGGCATAGCATAGCAGTTTTCATGTAAGAATCTCGGAACGTACATAAAGCTCTTTCAAATAACCCAGTCGAAGTTTTAATTTATGCATGGTCAAAACAACATATCAAATTACTTTACATACACAGTAAAGTCATCACGCAACATTTTTTCAAAACAGCTGTTTCCCAAAATTAATGTCGCTTTATTTTTTCTTTCACTAAAGGAATACATCAATTAAGTCATACGCTTTGTTTCTGTAGTTTGTAAATGATAGCAAATTCATTTTATGCCTTAGTTTTTTTTGAATTGTCATACATTTCATACGTGAAACACACATTGTTCAATCGGTCTATAAATGACCGAATGAAATCTCGGCTACCGCTCCAATTACAATGCTCCTCGCTGTCCACGTTTACATATAGCTCAAGACAAATGGCTTTGAATCGACTTTGCTCACTTAAAGCAAACTATTAACCACACAGATAATGATGAAAAATATGTGATAACCTAGTTACAGCAAGTCTGAAACAGGGTATAATTTTGTATGAGTATCAAATGAAATAAACAAAGTACAAATTGCATTTAATTGATGGCATGATTAATGCTGGAAAAAGCATCTGAGCTACATCTAAGCTTAATACAGCACGATCTTCAAAGTATAAAATATCAACTTCATTGTTCATGTATTGCTGCATCTCTTCATCAGCATTTTGTTCAACTTGACATTCAACAAACAGGATACTCAGGATTGCTGTCAGTCGTACAACGTTGGAAGAAAGTGGAAAATATATGACAAAGAATCTAACATTTATTTCTCAACGGATGGAACATTTCTGTTTGTTTGGTTACCTGAATCAATTGGGAAAGTACGGTTACGTAGTGTTCATTCAATTGCATTTCAGACCCACTGGAAAGAAAACTCCTTGAGTAGCCCCCTTCCCTTCGGAAATTTACCTATTTCAGACCCCCCTACCCCTCGGAATTTCGGTGACCTTCCGTGGGGGGTATGGATATTTTCTGGAGCTACACATTACGCAGAAATATGTATTAATCTCAAGTGGCCAAAAAATAAAATATCAGCGTTGACTTGTTGCTCCAAGACGTTTTGGTTGACTGTAGAGTGCAGGACTGCAGGCTGAGGGTAAAATGCAGACAACAGACTTTTTAAGTATATGTCATGTTATTTCCATTATCAAGTGCTAACCCTAAACAGGGTTATTCAGGTTAATCACAGTGAAAGTCTGCTCTCCGGTTGGCTGAAATATCACTCCGGTTAGCCTGAATATCCCTCAGGTTAGCCTTAAAAATAATGCTCCGGTTAGCCTGTTTTAATTTACTTTCCAAAGAGCCAAAGATTTCCATTTGATTTAACTGGCATTGATAAAGTGAGAGAAGATTAGGGCTGATCAAACTTTGGAATATTATAATTTAACAATTTGAAAGTACAGCCTTTCTACTCATAGCAACTGAACAACAACAAAATGTACAGGATGCATGGCTCCTAATATTTACCCTTGGGACCAATGAACAATAATCATAACTAACAAATGAAAAGAAAATCCATTATTCTAGAAACAAAGCACCAGCATACACCTCAGAAAAGGCTAATGTATTGAATATTGAATGTAATTACAATAAAGCAAATCTACTGATTCAGAAGAAACGATTTCCCAACTATCTAGTAGGTAGGAGTGGAGCGTATATTAAGCTTACGTTCTACAACTCACGCTCATGTTAAAGGCAGTTATATGTACCAGCATGATCACGATTGTCATGAACAAGGTGACAACAGGTTTTGAATAAATTAGATGTATTTAAGCTGATGTTCGTGTACAATGGACCTTGAAAAGAATAATAAGCTCATAATAACAAGCTTATAACTTATCAGCAAAATCTAAAGTGAAATTTAAGAACTGAAAAGAAAATACAAAATGTCTTCCAT